GGTTGGTAGTAGAGACGACGTAGGTACGAACGTACTACTACGTTCGTTACTTTTACGTTCTTAGTTAGGTCGGTCGATAGTATTTACTCTACTCTCTCTCTCTCTCTCTCTCTCTCTCTCTCTCTCTCTCTCTCTCTTTCTCTATATATATAAAGAGAGAGAGAGGGAGCGAGAGAGAGTTTATTTTGTTTCTTAGGGTTTTTTATGTTATGATCAGAGGTGGCCAGAACATGCAAACTTGCCCGAAAAAAGTTTCATTTCTAAATGCCAGGTAGTTCGCCAGATATTCATTTCCAGGTGAATTTTTTGTGGGAGAACCTGCTTAGAGAAAATGAGATCTAAAAAGATTGGCATTACTCTAAGGTAATAGGGCTTTCCAATAAATTATTGGTAAGAAAAGGTGGGGAGAAGGGTATTAGTCTTGTTTTATAAAGTTGAAGGGGATCCATGGGGTTTACATACTCACGAGGGTCTATGTGGACCATAAATTTCATGGGAGGAGACTCAGATCATTTTCCTAATAAATAATATGAAAAAGAGTTATTGTGTTCTATAATTTTTAGATTAATTGTCAATGCGACCGCCCACATTACCCCAATCGGTAACATCTCATAGTGGCTCATAATTAATTGTCAATGTGACCACCCACATTACCCCAATCGGTAACATCTCATAGTGGCTTATAACAGATATTGAGGACCGTGCATTAAGGTCCCATGCCTTGGGGACTTAATAGTACACGGCTAAATGAAGTTTGTGGTAGTATGGGGGCCAATAGTCCCCATCCACATGAATTTTATCATTACCACTTTACCAGTAAGATCAAAAACAGATATTTCTAAAGAAGTGTGGTAATGAGAATGGCAGTCAGGTCACCATGTGTGCTGTTGAATTTATTTTATTTCGTCATCCATGATAAATTCATTAATAGGCAGAAAATGGTGATTGTTTCCTATTTTAACTTAAATTTCCAAAAAGTTTGATACTTATTGACTTGATTGTTGAGGCATTTTTTCGTTCATTTTCTTGTTGTTTGGGCTTTTCCTATTTTAACCCATTCTAAAACATATGAGACAAATTCAATTTTCAGATGTTCTAATTTTCTTGAAATGTAAAATGTAAAACTGTCTGCTCAAAATGGTCGTCTAGAATTTCTGGACATGTACCTTTCTCAAATCTTATAAATACATCTGAAGGATTCAAAATTTTGACTACCCTTTTGAATCCATTATCTTGCCTTTCTTGTGGGGCATGCATGAAGGCTTGCTAGTAAATCATGAAATGTTGGAAAACTGGTTTTTGTGAATTGGAATGTATGGTACAGGTTATGACTACATTGTACTTTACACATGAAAGCCATCCACCGTCTATTCCCAAGACAGACATTGGAGATGAACCATGCATGGCATGACATTCATCCCTGACAACAGGTTTTCATGACAAGAATGGACAGTGGATTGCCTGCCTGTTTATATTGTTGCATACCCTCTGTGTAAGCAATACTGCTTCTCCAAATTTGATAATAAAAACTATATTGGATAATTGGATTTCAAACCAAAAGACTGATTAGTTTGGAGTTGCCTGAAGATTGTGTTTTGGGTGTCAATAGGGTAATGCCATAACAATTTTGCTATGAGTGCTGACCTCTAGATAAAATATCCCTTTGTTTGAATGACATCTCCATTTTTTAGGTAGGTAGCCCCTAAGTAAAAGATATGGGTTGCGTTAGGTGGGCAGCCAACGTAAAACTTTGCCACATTGTATCATGAATCCTGAATCTATAGTCTTACTGAGGGTATAGCCTTTGATAGTGAAGAATGGATGAACATGATTCATGTAGCCGACCACAAATAATTGGGATAAGGCTTGGATGATGATGATCATGATGACATCATTTGAAACGAGAGAAAAAGAGAAGAATAAAGGCAATAATACTGTAAGGCCTATGACTTCCTGGATAGCATTAAGCTGCTAAAGATCGCCCCACCCCCACCCCCCTAAATCCCCGAAGCATTGTTCCAGATTCTAATGAAGCTTTAACTTTTTTACATTAGTTTGGAAAATATATTAATTTACAATGGTCAAATAACATACGCTAGCAATATGGTGCATTTGTATGCAGTATGCTGTATAAAAGAAAGACAACCAATTGAAGGTCAATGATGAGTAGAAATGTGCTACTGACTGCTCAAAGAATCTGAGTAGAACTGATGCAGCATAGCACCAAAATGTCACCATATCAAATATGACTCATTGTGTGAAGGTATTATGTAGATATCCTCACCCACCAATATACACGTGCACGAAGATTGACATAGCAACATGAAATGTTTATAACTGTCAATGAAAATGGATAAAAAAAATAAAACAAATCCATATGCACGCCCACATGAACCCAAATGACCAGATCGAAATGTATACAATGTGCATAACATGGAAAAAAATGCATTCACGCATGTATTTGTGGATGTACGTTACTTCGCATGCGTGAGCAAATGCAATTATGCAAGTGCGAAGTGGACACATATGCACAGTGATATATTTCAACAAAGTCGATTTCAAGTTTTGAGAATATTTTCTGGAAAACCACAAGTATCTACATATTTTTTACATGGATCTTCTTCACTATACATAAGCATGTTGACATGATAGAAAGTTTGCAAATACAAGTTTTCACGCTACTTTAACATCAATTTTGTTCAAAAATATTTTTCTACGAAAGCATACTATTTTATCCCTTCAATTGAATAGAATGTTTGCAAGGGAAGACCCCAAAGCATGGAAATATATTTGATCACATGAGCATTCTTACGTTATTTTATAGCACATTTACTCACCTGCCTCCTGCAATAGTTATCTCGTCTTCCATATTTTCTCAATCCTACAGAATCCACATCAACACTGTGTAAAGCAGCTAATGCCTTTGCACTAGAAAGGTATATAGATTTCCTTACGGTTGGGTTCAATCCCTGACAACATGCAGTACCATTGATCAAAGTTATTAAATGCTGGCATGATGAGGATGAATCAATATTCTAGCTTTTGAGCATCCTTAAATAAGAATCAGGATTTAATTGGGAAAAATACTGCTTCAAAAACAGGCAAACATCATCCATATGGGGTATACATAAAATCACTTCACTTTCCCAAGCAAAGAACGAAACATCTCGATTTCTCAGATCAACAAAAGATATGCCAAGAACCATGTCTTACCGGTAGCTTAGGATCTAGAAATATGCGGCCCTCCAAATACTCCATGATGTAGAAGGCAGTACCTATTACGCTAACATCCGAGCACAAGCAAAAAGCCTTTGGAACAGGAACACGAGTATTGTCTCCTAAGGCCTTGAGAACCTGAATATCCAAATAGTTAAGACTATTAATGCAATCATTACCTTACAGGTTTTGTTAACCTAATAATGCAGAGTATAAAGCAATCATTCCGTTAAAAGTTTGCAAGAGCGTTAAAGCAATCATTCCCTTAGAGGTTCTCTTAGACCTAGTAATATGTCACTGATACATGAAGACATGAAGGAAGCTTAAAAAGATGAATCCAGGCATCAATTCATGTACACATGCCCCTGATAACCCATTCAAGAATCCAACAGGGTGGAATATAAATCCTACGAAGGAAGCCTTTGCATCCAGAACAGCAGTCCACACTAGTTATCTTACTACCTCAAGATCTATTGTAGTATAATGCAGTTTCTGAAAGTGTTGTGTTCTATATTATGCATAGACAACAACATAGCAGGAACTAGTGGTTACAATAGTCTATGTAATAACAATCCTTTCAAGTAATGTTTGTGTGTGTGTGTATGACAAGGATTAATGCACAGGAATAACACTTTAATTTGATTATTTCTACCTGAAATTCTCTTTCTACAGCATGAGCAGTTTCAAGCAACCTCCCAGGAGGCTTTTTTCTTAGGACATAACGTTTGACTGAAGATGTTGATTGAACTTCAAGACAATATGTTGGATTTGATTGCCCATGCCTAAACTGCATATGTGAACAAATGTCAGTGAAGACAAAGTGACCCAAAAAGGAACTTACGACTTCATGAGATCTCAAATCTTGAATTGAAATCGATTTTCACATCATAACTAAAAACTAGCATTTAAAAACTCAATGCAAAATTAACTTTGCTGGCCCCAAGTTATAAAAAGAAGGCCCCAGGAAAATCAGATAATGTTAGGGATCACTTATAAAAACCATACTCTTTGAAATGGCGGCATGCTGTGGCCTCTAACTCGCCGCATAAAATTCCCCAGTAAAAAGAAAAAAGTCACTACAGTAAAAAGACACTGAAATAAAAGTATATGCCTAACCTGCACAAGCTTAAGAAAACACTGCTCTTTCCAATTATTCCACAAAGAATAAAAAACTTAAATTTCATAATTCATACTAACTAGAACATAGATGAGAACGAGAATAGTACAGGAAAATGGTTATTTGCCTGTTTGTACAAGAATACATGGTTTTTAACAGAACCGATACAGCTAGAGTAGGATTTCCGGACTCCTTTCCTAAACCAGAGGCTCTACTTATCTACTTTGAGTGTCATAAACCAGACATCTACGAGTAACTGTTTGTGAATTACTGCTCAAAAACTATAAAAACAATTCATAATTCAATGCAGAAGAACAGAGAAGAATTCCAGAATGCAACTAAAGCCATCGGACGAACATGATCTATACCAATTATGCTATCAAAACGCTTTACATTTATAAGTTTCCTCTAATATGAACTATGAAACAACTTCAACTTCTTAGTGTGTCTCATTTTTCTTTTCTCCTATAACTTTGGAGCTTCTCAAACTTTTACCTGTCAGAAATTCTGTATTCTTTTGGGAAATTCGCATATTCTCTAAAGTTAAACTAATGTTTAACTTTAAATATGTTTGATTCTTCCGCTTATTTCTGACCTAGAAGGTTCCGTAAAGCTTTCCCTTCTTTGGTAGAAAGAGGAGGTTCTTCATTAATTGGATAACTTTCCAAGCTCTTCCAATTTTGGTGAGTTTCATAAGCTCTCCGCGCCATTAACGTACAACAAAAGAAGAATAGAGAAAAAAAACAATAACAAAGCCTCATAGAATTACCTGCAAAACTCTGAAAGTGATCAGTTCAACGGGAAATCCCTCGACATTTTCCTGGCAATATCTTAACAGTGCGTTCTCATCAAATTGATGAGCAGCCTGTACATCTCCAAGCAGATCCCTTGCACGAGACGCCATTGTTTCACCTAAATGAAAAGCCCTGAAGAATCCCTTTCCAGTGAATTTTCAGCAAATAGATTGATCAAAGAAAAGAAAGCAAAATCCAAAGAAAAACGAATTCAATGTACCAGAGCGTGAGAACGCCTCAGTAAAGAGCGCCCAAAAACAATACTAGGGTTCGATGATTTCAAGATCGAAGGATAAGAATAAACAATAATTTAAGTTGAGCTCGTCAAGTCCTAAGTAATTAATAAAAGGGCAGCGGAATTATTCGATATTTATTCCAAAATAAATGGAAAAGAAATGAGGCGCCAATAAAAAAATAAATGAAAGAAAAATATCCAGGCGACAAAGGAGGTGACGCACGGCGCGGTAAATGATTTGGAGGCAAAGCTTCCGTACTAAAGTACGATGCAAGCAGGTGCCCTATCTAAAAACAAAAAGTGTTTTTACTATAATTTTTATTTTTATTTTTTTGAAGTTTACTTATTTTTTCATATTGATGATTTACATGTTCGACATTATATGTCCTTAAAAACTAAATCCAAAAATCCATGTCAAAAATAAATTTATTAATAGACCCACATTTCTACTTATTTTGTTCATTCAGGTCTTCCAAGACCTATGGCGGAACCCAAGTCCACACCCATAGTAAAAAACATTTCTAGATGTTCTTGATCTGAATCAAAATCAATGTTCGTAAAATCGAACCAGAACAGTTAATCGGACATTGAGCCAAAAGCGATTTAACTGGCAAATCGGCCGATTCAACAGTTTTAACCGAACAAATCTTGGGTGGCCAAAAATTTGTTGAAAAAAACAAACAAGATGCCAAAAAAATCTACTAAAATACGAAAAACATATAAAGAATTATTAAAACAAGGCACATTCAAATGATGTTGAAAATTAATAAAAAAAAATGGATTTTAAAAGTGAGTATTAATTATCAAAATATTTTTTAATATTTACCATAATGTAAATAATACTAAAATATATATTACAAATCAAATTCCTCATTTTTTAAGATTTTATAGATATTTTTTAAATTTTTATTTTTAAAATACAGGCCGATCACCACAAATTGCCCGAAACCGAAACCGACCCCTCTAATCGATACCGGTTAGCTCGGGCGGTTTTCAAACACCCAAACTCCATGCATGAAGCGGCACCCTAAAATTTAATTTGGAAAGCATTTTTTTAGATCAAAGATGAATGATTCGAGCTCTTCCATATTTCTAAGGTAAGCAACCTACCACGAACTCTACAAATTCTATTTTTCAAGGCTCGCTTAACTTCAAGATCCGATCTCAAATGAAAAAAAAATTATTTCCAATCCATTTTACTCCTGATAAATAAGACAAACCCAAGCTCTCATCGCTCAATTCCCCGAACCAAACAAGTCCTTAGGAGGAAAAAAAGTACCAACAATCACACTGAAAAACCCGATTTGAAGACTCCTTACTCTTTACCCACTGTAATAGAAGGAACATCCTTGCAATCGGCCACATCCCCCCGTCATGAAATATACAAAAATTCACCATTACTACAAGAAAGAGAGTTCATCCATTTTATTTTTCTCAAGAGTCACATCTTTAGTAAGACCGAAAGTCATCCTATATTTTCTCACCACTTCTATCCACATTTTTTAATAAAATTTTATTTGATTGAATCTAAGTGGCCATATATGAACCTTTTTAGTTGGATAAAATGCTTGAATTTTGTTGCTGCAATTACACCTACAAAGAAGCTTGCAATGGTGTTCCAGAGTACCACTAAGAAGAAAATTATGCCATGCACATTCATTCAAAATAGTTTTAAAAACACTAGGTCGGCACGGAATGGCTCAGTCTGGCCTAGGACTTGGTCACCCTATTCCGGATCTGCATAAGTATAGAAAAACGATTGAGTTTAGAAGGGAACCGGTGGTTCCGTACATTAAAACGATGATTCTTTATAGTAAAATGGCGATCTTGACTGCTGATTCACCAATCCAGATCTATTTTTGGCCAGTTCACTTTTTTCATGTGTTTTGTTGTCAGCTTAATGATTTTTCCACACATTACAATGCTGGTCCTGACTGCTGATTCCCCGATCCGGATCGATTTTTGGGGTGCCCAATCTATGTGACCGATATGTTTTTTAAATATGAGATTCAAAAGGACGAGGGCGCTTCATAGGAAGAAATCTGTTTCATAATTCCCAATAATCACGAATATTCATGGAGAGAAAAAATTTATATAAGGTGTCAACCTTATACAAATAAGGTGCACCTAAAAAACCCAATAGAAAAGGTTGTTTTTATGTTGGAAATTCCTCCAATACATCATCTTGACCTAGAGACTCATAAAAAAGAAAAAAATAAAATTTCTAAACCTAAAAATAATTAGTCTTCTAACACATTATTTGGACCGTCAATTTTTAAGATTATCAAATACCTATAGATCTTCTTGATCGTCACCATTTCTAGAACTTTAAATTTCATAATTGGGCGGAAGCAATAGATTTTCATATCATCACAAAGCTTTGCGGTACCGAAATTATATTTTTGACAAAGTTTTGAGGTGCATCTAACTTCAATAGTATAAAGTTAGACACCATATACAAAACCTCACCCTCCACAAGGGAGAAGAGAGGCAGATTGAAATTTGAAAACAAATGTTCCTAGAGAGAAAAGCAAATAAACTATTAGAGAGAGAGAGAAGCGCTAACATAGAGACAGTTTCCTTTGATGCATCTTGTCGTTAATAATGCCATATGAGGCATCAAACGAAGCGCCTCTTCCCATGCTTTTTCACTTTTTATGTGAAAGACAAATTTGATCGACTATACCAATGTCACCATACTTCATGGGTTGGACACATTTGTCCTCTATGGCTGAGCGTCCATTTTCCATTTACTCCCTCGTTAGGGATATTTTTTAGATTTTTTTTTAAAAAAACTAGTTTTTCCAAATTGAATCCAGACCGTCTAATTTATTTTAAGGGCTAGATCTAACAGTCACAAAACTCAAAATTCGAATATTTTTCTTTTAAAAAATAACTATCTAGTATTTCTAAAATTTTAGATTAAAAAAAAAAGCCTAAATAGGTGTTTTGGACAAGAGAGTATATGCACAATATACTCCCTCAGAATCACGGTATTTGCACTTTATAAAATAATGCATTGGATTATAGTGTTCTCACCAGCAAGATAAACTCTTTTAATGGCTAAGCTTTAAAAGATTAACTTATAAACTTGCATTCGCCATGAACTTAGTTTGAGAAGTAAAAAGAAAATGGAAATAACATTAACTTAGAAAAGTTTAGTGGAATTATTTCACTTGTGGTGGTCATTAGGGTTTAGGTAGGTTCTTCGTTCGACAAGAGTACAAATAGAGGAGAAATAATGTTATAATATAATAATACTACATAATAGGCACCACACGCATAGTGGTGCACTTCTTAACGAGGTGGCTCCATGAGAATAACTAGCTGGTTTCTCTCTCTCTCTCCGCTCTCTCTTCTGGAAATGGACCTCTCTCTCTTACATGGGTCTTCATCCACATTTTTACCCATTTTTACTCTTTTTTCCTTTTTTTTTCTTTTTTTTGTTACTCTTTTTTCCTTCTTCAATTGTTGTGATTGCAGACTTCTCCTATTCTGTCCCCTTATTTATTTCCCAACAAGTTTCATTAGTATCAGTAAACCCTTCAAAAGTCTCATTCTTCTCTTTTGCAGAGACCCAATGGAGGACAAATCCAACGGCACAGATCCACCCTCACCTGCCCAAACACCAACCAACGGCCTGGATACGAGATCTCCCAAGCTTCTCAAACAATCCCTCTCTCTAGAGGAACCCCACATAAGAGATTCATTTCCCATCCATAAACACAATGAAAGTAGGCCATTTCCATCCTCTCTTTGCCATGATCTCCTTTTTGAAGATATTTTTACAAAATTTCCAAAGAAATCTACCATTTCCTGGAGACCTCTGGAGATGGACCCAGGTGATATTTGGCCAACGACAGGGGGGTTTTTGGGAAGAGATTTAGTAGGAGAAGAAGAAATGGGCAATAAGAGGTGGTATGGAGGAGAGGTGCAAATGCGTCAGAAAACTATTGATGTCATTGTAAAGACGTATCGAGGGGGTTTTGAGGGGGAAATGGAAATGGAAATGGAATTATGGGCATCTACGGCCACTTTTCACAGGAATTTGATGAGTTTGATGGGTTTTTGCAAAGATCCTCCTTCTCTTGTCTTTGCTTATGATGGGCCTGGCACGTTGGATCAATTGCTGACACGTGAGTCCTTTCTTTGATTTTGTATTTTGTATTTTGCATTTGGTTTTGAATACATATTGTGGAAAGGCTGTGGTTTCTATAAGGTTTGCAACCTTAAACAACCCAAATAAGGCACACCTTAAAATTTTATTATAACATGTAATTTTGTTGTAAAAAATATTAGTATTATCTTAAAATCTATTTTCATACCTAATTAGAAAATTTTAAATATAGAAAACGGTTAAAATCAAGTAGATCTATAAATATATGAAAATCTTGAAAATGGATGGTCTAGATAATGTGTTGCAAGATACACTGTTTTCGGGACTCAAAAACTTTTTTTCTTCATATTCATGTATCTCGATGTCGAGATGATCGATTAGAAGGGATTTTCAATAGATTTTTTAGGTGCAATTGTGATTCTACATTTTAAGGTTGCGACCTTATATAAGCTTTTCCCGTACGGAAAAGTGTACCATGACCTATATAATCGTGATCATAATATGGTGGTCATAAGGGTCATTACCATCATTAGTCATCCTCATCATCAACATCATCGAAACTTTTTTTTTCCAACTATCTGGGGTGGGCTACACTAATCTTAGTCCTATGAAGACTTATAGCTTCATTGAGAGTATGACCTTTAATAGAGCAGAAAGACGGACCGTGATTCATCTAGCTGACTCCAATTAATTGAGAAAAGGCTATGATGATGATAATGACGTTAGTCATTTTGCTCTATCAATGGTCATACTTTAGTGAGGCCATAAATCCCCATATATTTTCTCACTACTTTCAACCATGTCATTTTTTGGTGATTGGTATTAGAATGTGAAATTATAATGAAATGGGTGGTGGTATCCTTTCCTCCATCACAGTCCAATCCATTGATGGATGATCATGTTCAATGGATGGATGAAGAGAGTTCTTGCACTTCTTGGACCCCTTATGACGAGTATCCATGTAAGATGGATCGCACGGTAATCTCTACTACACTAGAAATTAAGGGCGATGCAATTTTCCCTCTTAGAGTATACTATTCTAGAATCCTCATCAACAGTAAGAATCCGTGGTCATGAGGGTCATCGGCGTCTAATTCTTCATTAGGTGTAGTGTAGGGCCAGCCAAATTGTAATAAAACTCAAGATGGTGGGGCCGGCTCTGGCTACGTCACCATTCATAAATTTTCAGAGTCCCATGACCGTGGATTTTTTGTATGTTAATGGTGATTATAATGTAGTTGCATTTTTTTACATGTCAGGCTTATATAGGTTTTCAGAAGCCAGGCTTTGTGTCCTCGTCCCACCCATTCCTTCAAGTTCTCTTGTACATCAATTTTGAAGAGTATTTTTCCTTCATTTGCTAATAATGATTAACAATCAAATGAAGGTGCATCTCCAAACTTTGTCATGGATGCAATTTTAGTATCGAAAATTCTTAAAATGGTTCCAGAATATATTTTTCTCTCTAATTGTAAAATTTTAAACTAAAAAAATGGCTCAAATTACGTAGATATATGTAAAAGCATGAAAATCTTAAAAATGAAAGCTTAAGATAATGCATGGCAAGATGTACTGCTTTTAGGACTTGAAATCTCTTCGTTTCTCCATATCTATATATCTTGATGTAAGGATGATTAAATAGATATTTTTCTAACATCAAAACAACCTTTTTCGAAATATTTTAGAGCTGCAACTTAATTCCATATTTTAAGAAGTCAACCTTATATAATTTTTTTCATCATTAATATACAAAGTATGCCGAGAATTATTTAAATAGATCTAATTTATCAAATATTCAACTTTTGGGCATGCAATTATACTCTTATGGGAGCAATATTGTGTATGTGCTCCCTCAGTCAGAAAACCTACTTGGGAAGATTTTTTCAATTTGAAATTCTCGGGAACCACTTAAGAATCACTAGATCATTATTTTCAAAAGAAATAAATTGAATTTTGAGTTTTTTTGACGCTTAGATCTTGCCTTTTAAAAATTGGACGGTCTATGTTCAATCTTGGGACATTATTTTTTTAGTACATAGAAAGTTCAATTTAGTTTTTTTCTTTTTCCTTTTGACTGAGGTTAGTCTAGGGGCTGAAGAGGTACATCCCCGTTTGGTAGTCCTAAAATTACTTATATATTGGGTTTTCACCCAGGGGAATAAATGAACATGATACTCTCACAGGAGCATAAAATCTTTTGGTCTGATGTTTTATTCGTTAGTCTTTATATCAAAATTAGATAAAATNTTAAATATTGAGAATATATATATATATATATATATATATATATATATATATATATATATATATATACTATATACTATATCTAGTATTAGTATTAATAAGTATTAGTATTA